TTTACAGCTGATCAGTGAGTTCCACTAAGCCACTAATTGGCTTATATATGTAGTGTCCTATCGTCCGACTCTGATCGCGAATCACAGATCAGAGACCAGGGTTTCAATTGAATTGAGCATGAGTTTTAATTTCCAATTCAGTTTGTACATTTGAATTTGTATGTAAGGAAGTATTTAAATGAAAAGAAATTCATACACTGCCATTCAAACGTTTGAGGTCAGTAACGTTTAAAAAAAAATTTTTTTTTAAAGAAATTGATACTTTTTTTTTCTGCAAGAATGACAGTAAAGACATTTAAAATGTTATAAAAGGTTCTAATTCAAAATACATTTTGTTCTTTTTTTTAATTTCTATTTATCAAAAAATGTATCGCTGTTTCCACAATATATTAAGCAGCACCATTTTCAACATAGTAATAAATGTTTCTTGAGCAGCAAATCAGCATGATTTCTGAAGGATCATGTGACACTGAAGACTGGAGTTATGATGCTGAAAATTCGATCACAAAAAATTTGATCACAGGAATAAATTACATTTTAAAATATATTTAAATAGAAAACAGTTATTTTAAATTATAAATATTACTACAGTATGTTTTACTGTATGTTTGATAAATAATTCAGCCTTGGTGAGCATTAGAGACTACAAGTTTTGATAAGATACACTGATTTTTGGAGTCAAAAAAACCTGGTTTGAAAGTTTTGAAAAACAAAAATGTTGAAATAGGTTTATTTGAGTGTTTATTGACCTAGATTCCTCTTCCTGTCATTCAACTTCCTTTACAGTGTAGCCAATTTACTACAAATTCACACGTATTATTTAAATTGGAGCCAGTTCTGAATTTTGCCCTGTCAGAGTAATCGTTCAAATTTGAGTCCATCCGTCTCAGGTCATTTTCTGAGCCCTTCATCTTCTCCATATTGCTTCCTGTCTTCTCTCTCATTGTTTCTGCTTCTGAAAGGCCAGAAATGCTAGGTAAAGTTGCCAGTGGCGGCTCGTCGGGGGAGGCACAGCTTCCCCATAATTTTGAGGTGAAAATGGGAGGAGGACGATTTAATGTTAATAAAATTCACAATTCATTTCAGTTCATGTCTCAGAATGTGTATTTTTTGTTTGTAATTTCACAGTTGTAATACCATAACGTGAAAGCGCCGCTTTTCTATCGCAAATGTGCCGAATCTGCTGATGTAATGGCAACCGCTAATGATAGAGAAGGGGAGGGGGAGGCCGGGGGAGAGGCGAGCTCTCGTGCCTCAGTTGGTAACAAAAATTAGCCAATCAGCATCGAGTGTTCACTTTCAGCGCTGAGGAGTGTTGAGAAAAGAACCCTCGTAAGGGAGGCTAGCCTCCCTTCTGATATCAACCAAGCATCATAGAGGCGTAAATTACGTGATATTAGTTTGAACGTCTCCCGCTGCGCTGAAAACCCAAGAGCCACCACTGAAAGTTGCTAATGGTGCAGTCAGTGGGGAGCGGTTTTCAGATATCACCCCTCAGAGACACTTTAGAGCAGAAGGGGCTTCTCGTCTTGTGAAGCGAAGACATCCACAGGTGAACACAAATGTCTACAGGAAGAAAGATGAAATTCTGATCACTACCATCACTAGTACATATCTGCTGTTTTTCCAATGCAGTATTATTTCGAAATAATAAGTAATCTTTAGCCCACAGATTTTTCCATTTGTGGTGTGATTTATTTCAGACAAAATGCTAAATGCTACCCAAATCACAAATTTCATAAAAAGTGCTCATTGTTAGGGCTGCACAATTAATCGAATTTCTAATCGCGATTACAATTATGGATGCCACAATTACGTAATCGTTCAAATCAGCAATTAATCGTTCAAAGTCCACTTATGTTCTGCGTGCTTAAGATGCCTTTCTTTTCTACATGTTATCTTAAAGGTTTTTCCATTGTTTTAATTTTAGTTTTAGTATAACATTATAATACCATTCATATTTGTACTTTTTTTATAATTTAAAGAAGAAACCAATCCGATGTTTAGTTGACATTTGAGGCTTAATACTATAGAAAAGCACTAAAAGTTTTTCAGTTAGTGTTTTCAGCTTGTTTATTTTCATATAAAAAATACGGCATGCAGTTGCATCAAACAATGGTATAAACATCATTCAATGTAAATTTTGATAATCGTAATTAATAATCGCAATTACAATTTCAAGGGAATAATCGACAGTTATGATTCTTGTCATAATCGTGCAGCCCTAGATCACACTGTAAATCATATCAGGTTTTTTTCCCTTATTTTATTATAAAGCATGTTTCTTTAGGATTTTACTTGAGACCTTTATTACTCATACGCTTTAATAATTATTATGTTTTAAATATTGTATTTTTTAACCATCTTTCTTCATGTACTTCATCACTCATACTCATACACATTTTATATTCTTTATATTCTTTTATATAGCATGCTTCTTCCAGATTTTGTACTTGAGACCTTCATCACCCATATAGTATTTTATTTGATCTGTTATATTATTATTTTAATATTTTTTTTTTTTTGTAAAACATATTTCTTTAGGATTTTTACTATGCATTCTATTTACTATTTTACTATTTTATTTTTGTTTATTGTTCAAAGCCTGTTTCTTTATAATTAGCACACAATTTTATTTTTTATTTTATTTTTTTCAATAGGTAGTTTTCTAATAAAAATACCTAAAAACGACACATTTACTTGCTTAAAATAGCTTAGAAGATATTACTTGTTTTAATAGAATAAATCTTGAAATAAGTAAATTTGTTCTTACCCAAATGGAAAATAGTTTTCTGGTTTTTAATGAAACTCAATCAATTCTGTTAGATTTATGCTTAATAACAAGAAAAAAATATTTGCAATTGGGTCAAAATGAATAATTACACAGCTTAACTTCTCCAGTAAATGTATCTTGTTTATGAATGTTTAGATGTTTTAACTGTAAAAGCAAGAAATAAACGCTAATTACAAAAGTGATTTTTACAGGTCAGTCAGACGGTTTCTTCCTGTTGAAGTGGGCGCTTCTTAGCTGGGATATGAATCAGCCTTTATGCCGTTAGTCAGACGTCTGGCTTCACAAGACTAATAAGCTGATAACATTAAATAAAAGGAGAGAAAAATTCCCATAACCTCAGCACACACTCTCTCTCTCGCACACATTTATCTCCTCTCACTGTAATTTCTATATTTCTTAGAGGCATTATAAAATAATTTATCCTGCTCCCTTTCTGACAGAATCTCTTCGGTTCTTTTTCTTTTTTCCACAATATATATTATTCCCTCTTTTCTTCGCCTTCTCAGTTACTGGATTACTGTCAATTTTTCTCTCACTTTTTTTTTAATCTAAAGTATTACCCTTCCAAACCTCAAACTTTTCAACTCTGCTTCTAAACAGCAGTTTCAAAAGGGAAAAAAAAGAAGGCGGCGATCGCTTGATTTCAGAGCTTTTCTGTTCTCCTGGTCTTCAGCAGCACATCTCCTCACCTCGCACCGGAATCTCCTCGGCTCTGAAAGTCTCAGGGACGTGCCGGGACTCAGACCTCACCTGAACTCTTATGGGCTCTAATGTCACGGCGGGGTCAGTTCGTTTATATTGGACCAGACTGTTCTATATTTCACATGTGTTTTAGTCAGTTTAACTGGATTTACACGGCTGCTCTCCGTTCTGCCTCTCTCAGTGAAAATGAATCACTTTTCTGAGCAGCTGCCTGCGTTTTATTTCACCGCCCCCTCTCACTTCACTGCTGCACCAGAGAAATTCAATCAATTCCTGTCCTCCAAAAAAGTTTCTTTGCCTAATTAAAAAATGGCAATAGGGGAGTATAGTACAGGTCAACTTAATCAAATAATCAATTAGATGTGCCCCCATGCCTAATAAACATTTGTTAGCATAGTTTAGTTTTATTTTATCATAAAGCATGTTTCTTTAGGGTTTTTATTTGAGATGTTTATCACTCACATTTTTTTTTGTAATACATTTTATAGTCTTTTATTATTAAGACTGTGTATTCAGGATTTTGTACATGAGATCTTCATCAAAATACCATTTTTTTTTTTTTATTCCATTTTATTTTATTTTATTTTATTTTAAATCATGCTTTTTTAGGATTTAGCTTTTTTAAATTTAATTTTTAAACCATGTTTCTTCATTATGTACTTCATCATTCATACGCAGTTTTTTTCATCTTTTATACTTTATATTCTTTTATTATAAAGCATGTTTCTTCAGATTTTTTTTTAAAATTTAGTTAAATTTTATATATTATTATACTATAAAGCATGATCAAACATTCTACTTGAGACCATCTTTCACAAGCAATTATTTGGCATATTTATTTCAATATAAATATTAAAATAAAATAAAATATTAAACAGTTAAATTCATGTTTAATGAATTTATTTTTTACATTTTAGATTTTTTTTAAACATGTTTCTTTAGAAATATTCCTTGACCTTCACTCATGTTTTTTTTTTTTTTCATTTTTAGTTTTTATCAAGGTTCAAAGGTATAAATTGGTATGATTTTTAGGATACACATGCCTAAGAAAGCTTTGTCCTTCAGATGACACAACCACTCATTTAAGCAGCATTTCATTTAGTTACAAATTTGTGCATGAACTGTTAAATATGTGCCCCCTATGAAATGCTAAATGACCCCTTAAGCATCGAAACAGCCTCGTGACATTTCTTTAAAAATTGAAAACATTTTCCTTGCTGTTTTGAAATATGAGCTTGTTCCTAGTGAACTGCCTTGCTGTCTAAAGCAGCATCCAAACCAAGATGGATCCTCGCCAGTGACTGATTTGGAACGCTTTATAGACAGCAACACAAATAGCGCCCTGCACTCTCAGTTGATTCCAATATAGTTTGAAATTAGCATGTTGATAAGCTATTGACATTACTCAAATGGAATAAACGTGTTAAGGAAAAGTGACCAGCAGCACGCAGTGTTAATGCATCACCTTTGGCAGCTCTAATGTTAAGCCCCTGTCTCTCCACAGGTTCTTTGTCTCTGAGTGTGTTCCTGGTATCGGTGGGTTTAACGGTGTGTGTCGTGTGGCTGGTGGCGCTATGCGGGGTCTGTGGATGGTGCCAACGCAAACTGGTGAGTGATGTCACTTCCTGCACAGCAGGGGGTTTAAAGTGTCTTTAACAGATGTGGTAATAGACATTGACATCTGTGAGCAGTGTTGGGCAAGTTACTTCTAAAATGTAATACATTATATATTACTAGTTACTGTGTTTTGAAAGTAATTAGTTACATTACAATATTACTGTCTCTGAATTGTAATGCGTTACACTACCTTTGAGTTACTTTTGAGTTACTTTCACCAAAATATCCACAGAAGTATTATAAAATGCCAAAATGTAGTTTATTGCTGCTCATTCTACATCCAGTGGAGGGTTAAAATCAGCAGCCAGGCCACCAGGAATTGTCCCGGTTCTCAGTCCGCGCCTGATTTCCACAGAGACACGCAGAACGTGCAGGATTCATATATTGTCTTTTTGCTGCTGAATATTTACAGACCCTAGTCCATATCGCGTTTTGATTCAAGTGTGACCTACTTGTGATTTATTCATCCAAATGTATATTCCGTGACATTCCGCGTTATAGCAGTTCCAACCAGTCCCTGTTTTCCGCATCGCGGAAATTATAGGGCCGTACGTCTCATATTTTAGAGTAGTCCGAGCAATTTGGGAAAGAAATCAATTAAATCTGTATGTGGATGTGTGTAAATATTCAAATGTAACCCCCTTTGTAATCGTTAACATTTTCATAAGTAACTGTAATTTAATTACACTTTTTTCTTAGTAACTGTAACTGATTACAGTTACATTTATTTTGTAATTAAATTACGTAACGCCATTACATGTAACTAGTTACTCCCCAACACTGATTATATTATAGTACTGTAGGAATTCCGTTTTTATGACTGGATTCTACGAACCAGTCTGTGTTTTCCGCATCGCGGAAATTATAGAGCCATGTCTCAGAGTAGTCAGTGTAATTTGGGGGAAAAAATCAATTAAATCTGTATGTGGATGTGTGTAAATATTCAAATGTAATCCCCTTTGTAGTCGTTAACATTTTCATAAGTAACTGTAATTTAATTACACCTTTTTCTTAGTAACTGTAACTGATTACAGTTACATTTATTTTGTAATTAAATTACGTAACGCCGTTACATGTAACTAGTTACTCCTCAACACTGAGTAGTAATGCGTTATATTACTGCGTTACAGCAAAAAGTAATATACTACTGTAATATTATTACTTTTGTAATGCGTTACTCCCAACACTGTCTGTGAGTGTGTAAAATTGCATATCCAATCAGCTATGGAAGAGCTGATATGCATTTTACAGTGTGTTTTTATAGTGTCTTTAGTTTAATGACTGTTTGTCTGTTACTCTCTGACAACAGTCTACCAACATCTGAAAGACCGATGCATGTGCTCTGTTCCAAAACCTAGTAGGCTGACCATGTACGTAACATTTTAAGGCATTGCAAGCATTAGGCTAGCATTTAGCACAGAAAGGCAGTATAATTGGACCTAAGATTCCAGGGAGTTTTTGCAAGTATGTCTTGTGGAGAATGCAATCTCAGAATGCAATGCAACAAGCTCAATTAAAAAAAAAAAAAGATATTTAATTAATAAAATATTTAATTAACCTCAGTTGTGTTGATAACAGTTCTAATTAAATAATATAATTAAAAATGAACTATTTTATTTGCATATACTGCACTACTCTTCAAAAGTTTGGGATTAGTATGGTTTTTAATGTTTTTTAAAGAAGTCTCTTATGCTCATCAAGGCTGCATTTTTTTTATCAAAAATACAGAAAAAAACAGTAATATTGTGAAATGTTATTACAATTTAAAATAACAGTTTTCTATTTTACTATACTTTAAAATATAATTAATTCTTGTGATGCAAAGCTGAATTTTCATCAGCCATTGCTCCAGTCTTCAGTGTCACATGATCTTTCAGAAATCATTTTAATATTCTGATTTATTGTTAATGTTGGAAACAGTTGTGCTGCTTAATACTTTTTTGAAACCTCTGATACTTTTTTTCAGGATTCTTTGATGAATAAAAAGAAAATAAATGAATGAATGAATAAATAAATAAATAATACAGCATTTATTCAACATAGAAATATTTGGTAACAATATACACTACTGTTCAAAAGTTTTGGGTTAGTAAATCTTTTTTTTTTTCGGTTTAATTTTATTTTGATGGTCACTTTAACACATTTTGTTGACTATAAGTAACGTTTCACCTACATGTCTAATTTATTCATTTTTATTATCAACAGGACTGACTGGTGTAATGGCTGCTGAAAACCAAAATTCACAGAAACAAATTACATTGTAAAATATATTTAAATAGAAAAGTTATTTTTTAGATGTATTTTTAAATCAAATAAATGCAGCCTTGGTGAGCATGAGAGACTAAAAAAATTACAGACCCCAAACTTTTACACAGTAATGTATGCATTTACGTTAACTCCCGACTCTATTGGAATTCTGTTTCAGTTAGGATGCTGCCTTAGAAGACAGCTACATATTTAGGCAGCTCACTAGATTCTGGAACAGAGCCATGATGTCATCAAGTTTGAAATTTAAACCTACTACAGCTGTGTTGGGGGCTCAGTTATAAAACAGAAGAAAATAGGGGTCATCTAATTATTTTTGTTTGCCATCTCCACGCAAATAAATTGACGAAAACCTAAGAACGTAACGGAAGGATTTAAACGGCGTATTGTTAGTATTGCAGGGGGGGGGGGCTTATTTTCTGTCTGGATAATTAGCTGTTGAGCCTGTAGTTTTCTGTTCAGCCTCAGCATCTGCAAAACAAGGTTTGCCATTCAACTCGTGTAAAGCAATTCAGCGCAAGGCGGCCAAATGAGACCGAATCGTGAGGGAGGAAAGAACGTGTATTAAGGAAAAATAATAATTAGGCTAAATGATTTATATATAAACATGAAAATGTGATTACACCCACGTTCTGATTAATAGCCAGTTGATAAATAGAATCCACAAACAAAATTAATCACCTGTGCTCAGTTTAATTGAATTACCCTCTTCCCTAAATAAACGGATCACCTATTATTCAAAATTAATTACCTTTAACACATTTAATGTGTCACTTGCTTTTTGCCTAGAAGAGTAGCCGAATGTGGAGGCATGGTTTCTCAACGGTGCATAATACAAATCCAGGTTTTCCACTCGTCAGCTGAGAGGAGCGATGGGTTTCGAGATGGGCAGCGCTAGTGAAAGAGAGGAGGAGTGAGAGGCAGACGGGAAGACTGCAGGGTGGCTAAAAAGAGATTTCAAGCTTTAATTACACTCAGTAATGGCTTCCCCACCACGTGCCCGGCCTGCAGGCATCTACCGTCTTCATGTTATTACAATGAGGGATGACAAACTCGCTTCTCATTTTATTCGCTCATGCTTTTCGTCACATTTTCAATGCCATTTTCATACTTGGTATTTTTCAGTCTAAACCGAATGTTATTGTTCCCCCTCCTCTGTTTTCATACGGTACTAGGCTGTTCTTAATTGCTATAAAATGATTAGCAAAATACATCGTTTTGTCATCAAAATATTAGTGTTTTCACAATAGAGCTTCTGATGTGGACCAGGCCTGTCATCAGGGGTTGGTATGTGTCAATGATTCTGCAAAACTTAGAGCTGTTTATTAATGCACAATTACATACGTGACTGATTTCTGGAAGTGTGAATCTCATGAAAAAACTGTGTCTCTTTAACTTAAAGGGTTAGTTCACCCAAAAATGAAAATTATGTGATTATTTACTCACCCTCATGTCGTTTCAAACCCGTACGACCTTCGTTCATCTTCGGAACACAAATTAAGATATTTTTGATGGAATCTGAGAGCTGTCTGACCCTGCATAGACAGCAACGCAACTGAAATGTTCCCAAGTCCAGAAACGTAGCGAGGAGATCTGTAAAATAATCCATGTGACATCATTTCTTTTGCGCACAAAAAGTATTCTCGTAGCTTAGTATAATTGCTGTTGAACCACTGATGTCACATGGATTATTTAACAGATCTCCTTGCTACGTTTCTGGACTTGGGAACATTTCAGTTGCGTTGCTGTCTATGCAGGGTCAGACAGCTCTCAGATTCCATCAAAAATATCTTAATTTGTGTTCCGAAGATGAACGAAGGTCGTACGGGTTTGAAACGACATGAGGGTGAGTCATTAATGACAGAATTTTCATTTTTGGGTGAACTATCCCTTTAAGTGTGTTTCTTTACATACAATGGTCGACAGTGGAAATGAAAGTCTCACGGGAAACTTCTGTCATTCTCTGTGCTGGAAATTACTTTATTTGACATACTTGGAATAAATTGTATGACTCATTTGTCTTGCTAAGGTTCATTTCTTTGCTAGAATGATATGTAGTCTAATAACACACTTTTTGCATAATTTGACTTTTGCAGCTTTCAAATTTCATCTTGTCTCTTTGGTAAACAAGTTAAATGTCATATTGTTTGTTATTTTTATATTTTAAGATTGAAAGTCTGAGTGAAACAATACAATCTATAAATAACGTTTGAAAAGTAGGAAAAACATGTTATGTTTGTGTTTTGAATGTAATTGTGTATTTTAGTATGGTTTATATATTGTTATAGAATATAATATTTTGAATTGGCTTTTATTTTTATATTTTGTTTTTATTTTAGGTTTTTGTGACATTTTAATTAGTTTTTGTCTTTTATAGTTCTATTTTTTTATTTTTAATTCAGTTTCAATTTAGGTCATTTTAGTTCTTTAACTTAAATATGTTTTATTTCATAAAATATATTTCATAATATTGTTTTTTTTTTAGTAGCCAAGAGACATTTATATTTTTGTAAATAAAATAATGATAATAATAATAATAATAATAATAATAATAATAATAATCTGTTAGTTTTAAATAATAATAAGTCTATCTGTCTGTCTGTCTATCCATCCATCCATCTCTCTATCAGTCTATCCATCTATCGTTCTATTTAGTTCCATCTGTCATTCTATCTATCTGTAGTTCTATAGTTCTATCTATTGTTCTATTATTGTATGTATCGTTC